ATGTTTCTTGTTTGAAGAATACAGATTATTTGCTTCTAATAAGTATTTGTGATGAATGAAAATAATATTAAAAACATAAAACTTTCATATATAAATAATTTTAACTTATTTATTTAGTCTGCAATTGATTTGAACCAATGACTTACTCTACCCCAAGATAATATTACAACTATTCTATATGTTCTCGAATTTTTAGTTAGTATTCAGTTTCAACAAATAAGAGTATGATTGTATATAATTTGTACAGTAAATATCTCACTCAAAATTCAAATTTAACTCAACTTTAACTCAACTTCATTATCTCCAATATTATCAATATAATTAAATCATATCAACCAATCATTCGTATACATCAAATCAATTTTAATTCACTATTCACCCACTCACATAATTTTAACTAACTATCACTTCCAATCATTTTATCTTACTTTTACATCAAATCAACTTTAATTATTTTACTTTAAATATTATTTTAATATATCCACTAACAATTAACCATACTACTTTTTTTCAAACTTAACTATAGTTCAAAAAAAACTAGTTTTTTACTAGTTGAATTCATATCCAATCACCCCCTAAATCTTTCTTCATATCGACGATATAAATGAACAACAATGATCACGTTTGTAAATCGTATTTTGTCTTTTTTTTTCTGGTAGTATTCAGTTCAACAAATAAATATTTCTTCACATCGATATAAGAACAACAATAATCAATCACATTTGTAAATCACTCAGAATAAAAATTCTAACTACAATTCCAAAATATATAAACACACAACAACAACAACAACAACAACATACACATAGCCTTTTAGTCCCAAGCAAGTTGGGGTAGGCTAGAGATGAAACCTAAGAGAACCAATTGTAAGAGAAACACAAAAAGGGGCTCAAAACAAAAAGAAAAGATTGGAGCAAAAGAGAAATGAGCAAAAGTCACGGTTCTGACACGTTGATTGCTAGCCTCCAAGCGCTCCTATCCACCGCTAAATCTTTGGAGATATTCCAATCTTTAAGGTCTCTCTTAACCGACTCTTCCCAAGTGAGTTTAGGCCGACCTCTACCTCTCTTTACATCATCAACTCGCTGTAGAGCATCAGGACTCAGGAGGCCTCCGTTGGACATGTCTGAACCACCTCAGCCGATGTTGAACCAATTTCTCCTCAATTGGAGTCACACCGACCCTATCTCGAATATCCTCATTCCGGATTCTATCCCTATCTCGAATATCCAAAATATATAAACAAAAAAAAAACAAAAATGTATATAAATTTTAAACCAAAATAATTTTCAAAATTTTTATATACGTATCATATTTAGTGAGATAGAAAAACAATATGATGCGTATAAATAATTTTGGTTTAAAATTGAGGGTGAGATCCAGAAATTTTGCTCAGGGGGTGCCCAGTTTTAAATGTTAAATAATGAGCTTGTAGTTTAAGTTGAAACACTCATTTCATATAAAATTGTATTTACTATAAATATAAATATTTATACGTGTACCATCAAGTTTTTAAAAACTTTAAAATCCGTATCACCCTCAATTTTTTTTTTTAAAACAAAGAGAGATTTTATGTATTTATAATTTAAGTTCAACATCTATAATTTATGAAAAATAAATTTTTTGGTTGAAAATTTGATTTAAATTAAACTTTTGCACAACATTGCATAACATCTTGTTATGAAAGCTTATCAAATAAATATTTTTTTAAGAAAAAAGTAAATAAAGTTAAAAATATGTGATTACACACAAAATAAGAGTAAAAAGTCAACATTAAACAATGTAACAATCCAATTAATAAATACTCGGTTTTATAATGCACTAAAATGATTTACAATTAAGAGACCGAAAGAGTACATCATTATTAATATTTTCAAAACCTTATCTAAAAATTTAAAATATAAAGATTATTAATATATTTTTCACTGAATAAATAATACTATTAATTTAAATAAAAATAGCAGAAGAAATAAGTTTTAATTAATAATATATTATAAATATTTTTTACATTTCTATACATATTATATAATATTTTCTTTATATGTATATTAATTTTAATTAAGTTTTAACTATTAATATATTGTAATTATTTTTGTATTTTATACATATTTTATAGTTTTTATTAATATATATATATATATATAGATTCTTTTAAAAATTTCTCATTGAATAAATACCAAAGCTGCCATATTGAAATGAGGTCAGCCGCCATCAAAGAATGGAAAATAATGAGTCAGAGTTTAACTCACACGCTTTGAAATCCTACACGTCGCAATATTATGTTTTGTATTTAGGTTTGGATAAAAAATTTAAAATCAAATTTGACTTGAAAAGTGTCACAATTAATTTTTTCACCATACATCATCTCCCATCAATCTCTCTTTTATTACCAAATATGTTTTGAATTTAAAGATCATACAAATCTTTATTTCTTATTTCATTTTTCCATCTTAAAGAACATTTGAATTTAATAATTGAGTTAAAAATATTTTATTTGATAATTAATTTTTTGTAATTTTTTTTTATTTTATAATTGAGTTAACTAAAACCATATCTACATTATTCTTTTATATTCCTTGATTTGATAATTGAGTTAACAATATTTCTAATTTTTTGACGAATATATGGTAATAAATTTCTTCACACTTCAAAATCTTGAATTCAATTCAAAATGGGATTCTAACACCATATTCTAACGGAATTTCCTCTATTTATTTATTTTGTATATACTACAATACTAAACTTTTTTACTTTTTATGTTGAAATTATTTTTTTATGCACTCGTGTAAGTGTCGTACTAGTTATATATTATACTTGAACTACAACATATATATGGATTTCAATATTTATATATTGAAACACAATATTATAAAACCGTATTATAATATGCGGATTTGTGAAATATGGTTTCTCACATATTTCTTCAGACTTAACTAAGGTTTTTCATTCTACTAATATCCTTGATGAGTTTCCGTCAATCGTAATTTTATAATATAAAAAGTTGTTACTTAAACAAAGGTACACAATTTCGATGATAATTGCCATCAGAAGGGCTAAACATATCACATATTGGTTTGTTGAATTAAACAAATCATATTTTTTATAGAGTAAGAATACCAAACAAACTGTTAAGATATTCTATTTCTATAAATTCTGTATATCAACATTCATAATTTTGGATTTTTTTTAATTAAATTTGGAATATATATTCATATATTGGGTTTTAGAATAGTTTAAACAATACCCAGTTATTGTTTATTTTTTATTTGTTATTTAGGCTTGTTAAACTTAATTAATAAAATAATTAAGAGGAATATTTTCATGAATTATGTAACGAAAGAAATATAAATTATTCTCATTCATAATTAAAGTTTCAAAAAAGGCGGATTATATTTTCAAACAAATAATATGTGATAAAAATAATAATTTATTATAACATAAAGTGAAAATAATAAATAATAATTGTTAGTTGTAAGAAAAACACATGTGTATTTAAAATAAAACTATTTTTTAATATGCCAATGTAAAGAAAATCTGAAACTATCTTATGGAAATTGATATGCACCACATAATATTTTTTAAAACTAGATTTTTGGGGCTATAAGATACTAGTAAAAACTTAACATAAATAAAATAAAATTTTCCTATACATTAAAATAGTCTCATTCCAACTCTATAGGATAATTTTAATTTTTCTTTTTACGTATTTGATATTTTAAAAACTTCCAACTCAATAAGTTGTTCCATTTGCCATCATTTTTCTATTTTTTTCCCACTTGCCATCATTTTTCGTTATCCATCAACAAATTTAAGCAAATCTAATGCAAATGAAACAGCCAATCAATTAAATTAAAATAACTAAATGTACAAA